ATATTCTTAGATTTAAAAGTATAAATCCCTTATCACACACATGATAATTTTTAAATTTGTACTGCTTGTATTTTAACAGTTTCCATAAGTGTATTTTCCTTCTTTTATGACATATCGCTTTTATCTTCAAAGTATCATTTGTCCACAAACATCTTTGATGAACTTTGTTTATTCTAATATCATCATTCATTTTTTTCCTTCTGTGTTACTAAGCATGTTTCTAGAAAATTACAGATCAACTTCATAACCTTAGGTCATCTTTTTTTTAATATGTATTCTATATGCCTTTGGTTCCTGCATGCTTTATTTGTGCCTTATTCTTTGTCTTCTTTCTCTGATAATCATTTATGCCAGATATTTCTAATTAAAGATATTTCCAAAGAAATGAAGTCATTTTCTTCACACAAATCCTTTTTCGTTGACACATTTTTTTTTCTGTACATATTTTATGGGCTGCTACTCCAAGGTTTATTCCCTCCCCTTTTGAACAGATAAACCAAGCAATGAAATAAACAAATGTGTCAACAGCACCAACTCTCAGCAACCTGACACAACAGAAATTTAGTTTCCATGTGTCGCACTTTGGTACGAATTAAGCTAATGGCTCTCCGTTTAGCAGTCATTTAGACGCTCCAGATTTTTTATTTTAAGACAAAATTATTGTCTTCTAAGTCTTTCGATCCTCTTGAGCCAGCTGATAAGAAGGAAGAAAGCGATTGCTTCATCAGTAGTATGACACATATCACATGCCATGTCCCATCTGGATGCAACGAAGGTGGAGCATGTGTTGTAGGTCGCTGATATTGGTGAGCACCATTTCTGCTCAGTCCTTTTCTGTGGTTTCCAGATGTTCCATTATTCTTTTCTCTCAACTGCTGAGATCATACTCATCCTTTTCGAAGAAAAAGAAATTCGAAAGACTCCTCTAAGCTCTGACTCCGTCTCCGTGAGTGTATTCTTGGAAGATAGGCTGTTTCTCTACCAAATTGTAGTGACATTTCATATGATATCTGAACTAAGCAAGAATTAAATGCTACTGAATTACACATTATGAACAGATTCGTTCATTTTTAAGCAAGATGACTGAAGATACACTAGCTTAGTGATTTTGGAATCCTACTGGGATGATATAATAAAAATCTATTAGTATGGGAATAAGAAGTTCATTAATTATGTTGTAATTGTGTTTCCCAGAAGGAATGTTTTTGATTTTTTTTCCTTTTCTTCTTTCTTCTCTTTCCATTCCTTTCCTTCCTTCCTTCTTTTTTTCCTTTCTTTCTTTCTCTCTTTTTTATTTATTTCTCTCTCTGTCTCTTTCTTTCTCCTTTTTCTTCCTTTACATTTTTCTTTTCTTTCTGTCTTTTTTCTTTTTCTTTCCTTTTAACTTTCTTTTTTCTTCCTCCCTTCCTTGTTTCTTACTTCCCTCCCTTCCTCTCTCTCTTTCTTCCTATCTTTCTTTTCTTTTTTATTTTTTAAAAGATTTATTTATTGTTACGGCAAAGTCATGTACAAAGAGAAGGAAAGACAGAAAGGAAAACAACCCATCTGATGATTCACTCCCTAAGTGGCCACAATGGTTGGAGCTACATTGATCCGAAGCCAGGAACCAGGAGCCAGGAGCCTCTTCTGTATTTCCCACACAGTTGCAGGCTCCCAAAGCTTTGGGGCATCCTCAACTGCTTTCCCAGGCCACAAGCAGGGAGCTAGATGGGAAGTGGAAGAGCCCGGATTAGAACGAGCCCATATAGAATCCAGGAGCATTCAAGGTGAGGACCTTAGCCACTAGGCTACCGCTCCCGGCCCTCTTTCTTTTCTTTATCTGTCTCTTTCTCTCATTCTTTCTATGTCTTTCTGTCTGTCTTTCATTGATTCTTTCTCTTTTCCTTTTTCTTTCTTTCTCTCTCCTTCCCTTGTTTCCTTTCTTCCTTCCCCCTTCCTTTCTTCAGATATCAGAGTTTACCCATTTACTCCTACACAACCTAACCTCCTAAAACATGCAGGGCTGAGCAGAGTTGAATCTGGAAGCCAGAACTCAATGAACATCCCAGATATCGGTAGTAGAGTCATCACCAGTTGCTTCCTACAGTGTGTACTAGCAGGAAGCAGGAATCAGAAGCAGAGTAGGAATTCAAACCCAGGCATTGTTAACATATTAAAGACAGAGGAGATATTGAGAGAAAGATCTTCCAACTATTTATTCACTTCCCAAGAGGCCTCAAAGGTTGGAGATATGGCAATTTAAAGCCAGAAAACTCTTACAGGTCTTGCACACAGGTGAAGGAATCCAAGCATTTGGACCATCCTTGACTGCTTTTTCCAGGCCACAAGCAGGGAGCTGGAAGGGGAGTGGAGCAGCCAGGACGCAAACTGCCCCCATATGCAATCCCAGCACTTTCCAGACAAGCATTTAATCACTCAGCTAGTGATCCAGACCCTCTAATTTTCTTTTCTACTTCCATTTTCTCCTTATTCCCAACTGAGATATTTGCAAAAAAAATTAACATCCAATTATATTCAAATAATTTTGAAGAGAAATTTCAGTGTTTTCTAAAATGTACAAGTGTTTGAGCTCTTCCCATCTTTAATTTTCAAACGCCAAGGGCAACTCTCATTATGTACCTCAGATACTCAGTTCAAGATAATGTGGAACAATCCAAAAGAGTGGGAACATCTTTAAAATTAGATTAACTTTGAAAACAACAACAGCTGCTTTCATTGTATAGCAGGAAAAATTGCTCAAGGCAAAAGTATAAATTAAATAATCTTAATCTAATTTTACAGGTTCAAAAGCATTCACAATGAAATCCTCTAATTAGTTTTCATTTTTCAAACTTTTTAAAGTTTAACTAGCTAAAGTTTGCCAACTCCTTATGGGAAACTTTGAAAATTGCCATTATTTTTGTCCCATTAAAAGGTATTGTTAGATATCCCCTTAGTGATTATATAATATACTTGAAATAACACAATTTTGTGAATTGAACAGTAAGCAGCAAACATGTGAATTTCCACTTACATCAGTTTTTACTGACTATGATGTTTTCATTAATGTCTTATCCATTGGATAGTGATACATAATTATGCCTATGTAATTTATATGTGTGTGTGCATGTAGTATATATACAAATAAATATGCTTCAGAAACACACAGAAACAGAGACAGAAGCCAGCAATTGCAAATAATGCTATTCTATACTTACGTATTGCTTATCTATTAATTAACTGTAATAATAATGAAAATTTAGGTAACACAACAATCCAGTTCTATAATACACCGATTTTTTATCAGATACTGTCAAAATTATTAAATTTTAATTAACATATAAATATTTGCATTGCACCACAAAAAGGTGTAATGTTTTCCTAATTGCTTCATGATTTTAAAAAAAAGGCTCAGCAAAATCAACTAAGGTAGATTAAAAATACTTTCCTCAGATTTTCTAAGTCATCATGAGTATTCGTCCTAAGGCTGTGATATTTTAGATAAATCATTACACATAAACAAAAGAGAAGATTATTTATAAAGGAGCAAAAGAAACAGGTGTTAGCTTTCATTGAGAATCAAATCCACTTTACCATTACTTTTCGAAAGCAATCTAAATGTCAGATTTCTGACACCAAAATTGGTACCAAGTAAATCGCAGAGCACACACTGCAAAGTGGCAGACAAAATTTAGAACAGTAGGTTGTATATAATTAAGGGAGAGTTTGTGCTTCTAAATATAAAAGGCCTACATTCAGCAAAAGAAAATAAAACCTTTTGGAAGATGACAGTCTGGTTGCACTTTTTAAAGCTCTTAAAGAAAAACTTAAGGGCCAGACATAAAACATGAGCTCTTAGCAGAAGCAGGCTTTTCACAGGAAAATATGCAAAACAATTAGCAGAACTCGTCACAAATAAGAGAATGACATTCTTGGTTCTATTACACAAGATGATTATAGATTATGTTGAGGTACCGCATGATTCTCTATTGAAGAAAAGTGGAAGTTGGAATTTTCACTTGATCTTAGCCAAAAGGCCAAGAAGCAATGGAAGTTGGAATTTTCAATGGTTTTACAATAAATAAATGTTAAATGTTTGAGGAGTGGAAACACATCATTATTCAATGCCCATAATTGTACATTATACAATATATAATACTAAAAAAAATCCTCTTAGGATATCCCAAAAATGTTTACAACTTTGCAGAGAGAAGGACAGAGAGAGAGAGCGAGAAAGCGTTTTGAGCTGCTGGTTCACTCTCCAAACAGTCACAATGGCTGGAGCTGAGCTGATCCAGGCAGGAGCCTCTTCCAGGTCTCATATGGGATTAGGGGCCCAAGGACTTGAGCCATCCTCTGCTGATGTCCTAATACATAAGCAGGGAGCTGGATTGGAAGAAGAGCATCCAGATTCAAGCCAGTGCCCATAAGAGATGACTCTATCTTCTAAGTGGAGGATCAGGCTGCTGAGCCACTACAGAAGCCCCAACATTTTAAAATTAAAATTTAAAAAACAGAGAGATAAATTACTAATCAAACAGAAGAATGCTGTTGGATTTTGTCTTTTCTTAATCTTTAAATAGTTTGATACTTGGACTTCTTCTAATTATATTATAGAGTCCAATAGGAATGGTATTAGAAAGAGTTCTGTAAATTTATGAGCCGTATTTCTGATCTTTAAGTACCCCATTAATTAGTCTTATCAGCCAAAAAAAAAGAGTCTAACCATGTATTATCAAGCAGAATTTTATTTTTAGTCCCTGAATATGGAATTAGAGAAGTAAGTGCGTGTGTTGTAACAGCACTTGAATACTACTGTTATGGGAGGCAGGTAACACACAAAAATATTTTAAAAATCACACAATACAATACTTGTGCTCTGTGAATCATGAGCAAAAATAGCAACAAACATGATTATTATGAAGGATAATATATGTAAATTTAATCATTCATGTGAGCTCACTTTTGAAGTGACCTAAAATCAATTGAGCTGAGACCTAAATTAAATGAGGGCATGAGCCATGCAAAGTGGTAATGAAGAAAATTTCATTTATAAGACCCACGTGCATACTAGCAGAGGGAGGATAGTAGGTGAGTCACGTGAGCTAAGAAAACAATACGTTGTGGACCACAAGAATGCTGACAGCACCCGGGGTTAATTATACTTGAAAGAAGCTACTACTCTCACTAAGTTTTGTACTGCCACATTTGTATATAAACCCAGATCCTATTGTGTGCAAAATCCATTAGTATATTAAAAGAGGTAAATTAGATTACCAACAGTGAATTGTGAGGTCTGCGTTTATATTTAGGAAAATTGACAATGTATATGCGTAGAAATCACTGTCACTTTTGTTTTAGAAAATAGTATAGACACTAAAATGTAAAATATAGACACTCTAATAAGTTTGCTGAATTGATCTCTACAAAATGTGCTCAGATTTAATACACACTATCTCATAAATTTTTTGAAAGATACAAAAAGGAGCATGCATGTCAGTAGATAAATTTAATAGAGGAAAACGAATTGTTTCCTGAAGTGCATTCTGATACCTTTATCCTGTATTTCTGTGTTTCTAATTCTCCCAGGATTATCTTCAAAGTCATCTCTTTAAAGATGTCTGCTAAAAACCCTATAAGCTATAGTAACTTTATCTTTTGATTTTAATATATGGATAGCTCTATTAGAAGACCTATCTTATACAGTGTTGTATTAAATTAGCACTCTTGAAAATATATCATAACAAATTATATTTTCCTTAATGGTAGCTAAACTGGAATAAATATGTCTTTTGCCAACACAATTCTTACACCTTTATTTTTAAAAAGATTTACTTTTTTTTAAAAAAGATTAATTTTATTGCAAAGTCAGATATACAGAGAGGAGGAGAGACTGAGAGGAAGATCTTCCATCCGAGGATTCACTCCTCAAGTGACCGCAACGGCCAGAGTAGCATCAGTCTGAAGTCAGGAGTCAGGAGCCTGCTCCAGGTCTCCCAAACCGGTGCAGGGTACCAAGGCTTTGGGCCGTCCTTGACTGCTTTCCCAGGCCACAAGCAGGGGGCTGGATGGGAAGTGGGGCTGCCTGGATTAGAACTGGCACCCATATGGTATTCTGGTGCATGCAAGGCAAGAACTTTAGTTGCTAGGCTATCATGCTGGGCCCAATATAGATTTTTAATTTGATGAAGATTTATTTTTTAAATGATGCCTTAATGCAAATTATATATATATTAGGAATTGTGTTAAAAAAAAAAAACAAAAATCAAACTCAACAGAGGCCATAAGGCTTAAATCTACTAATTAGAATATGTTTCCCATGAAGGAGTAAATGGCAGTGACTTAACTATTGATCCTCCGCTATCATACACTGACCCTTTAAATACTGGTTGTAAATATTGGCGCCCGCAGGCCGGGCCGAGAATAATCCGCTCAGAGCCCAGCAGCTGGCTGCGGGGCTGGAGGTGGAGATGATGGCCGATATGTCCAACAGGATGACAAATGCCTGCCACCAGAAGAGCATGCCTCCCCACTACAAAGATGCTGAGCTGTCCAAGGCCGCGACTGTGTGCCTGGACATCCTTGAGCGCATGGGCAAGAAGCTGACGGAGCTGTCTATGCAGGACGAGGAGCTGATGAAGAGGGTCCAGCAGAGCTCCAGGCCAGGACACACCTAGGTGGACAGCCTGCCCTTCCCATGTGTCTAATAGAAGTGGATTCCTTGCTGTCCCTCTGTGAAGACTAGCAGGCCTCATCTTTTGGAGAGTCTCCAGGAACCCGGGGGTGGCAGAGCTCGGGCCTGGGTGGAGAAGGGGTGTTTGTCACCTGACCGTGATTGTGTGTGTGTGTGTGTGTGTGTGTGTGTGTGTGTGTGTGTGTACGCATATGTACATATTTGTACATTAGAGCCCTGTGCTTGGCATTCCAGCCTTCCACCAGCAGGGGGCGTCCTGGGTGTCATGTCCGATAGGGCTGCAGGCTGGTGAGAGCCTGGGTTTACACCTGGCTCCACCTCAGACTGTGGAGCCCCAAACATGCCACCTGCAGGGACGCTGGCTTTCTCGTCTGTGAAATGGCAATAACCACAGGGCTGTTAGCATTAAATGAGATCACGGGTGTGAAACAACGCAGTGCTTGGCTGCGTCAGTCATAAACAAATTTTTTTGTAAATTTTTGTAAATATTTATAGTCATTGCAAATTCCTCAAGTATTCATAAAATCATACATTTATGTTAGGTAAGAAAGAATAATTATACTTGCATCTTTGAGAAAATATTAGAAAAAGTCACTCAAAATATGGAGTAGAAATAGAAAGCATTATATATGTATTTCTCCAGATATATTTTCCCCAAGTCTTAATGACAGATGAAACATTACTAGTTTGACACTCATTTAACAGAAGCAATAATAAGCTTTGCACAAATGATTTCTCTTTGTAGTGACTGGTATTTTTATGATAGAACATTAGAGTATACGTGTTTTTTCAATACATTTTAAGGGCTTCATGAGTTACTCTCAAAAAATAAAACAGAATATATTAATTACTGAGTGAACATTGATAAGTTTCTGAAAAACCCATTATTATGTCCAAACATGATTCTGTGACAATATTTTATAACACTTTCATGTATTTTCTGAGATAAATTTTACTTACCATCCTATTACTATAAAATCTTTGCTTGAATCTGCCAGTCTGTCAGGTAACTCTGTTTGGCTTTGTGCTTATAAGTCACTTTTAAATTATAAAACTCAGAATGCCAAAAGTAATAAAAGCAATTTTTAAATAAGACTTCTTGGCGCTATTTGAAATGGAAATACATTCCTGAATTTTTTTACATAATTTGCTATTCACATGTTGAAATGTCACTGATTTTTAGGTTTTTATATACTAGAGCTTTGCTATATTTTTGTTTCTTATAGTTTCTTGAATATTCATCATAATAAAATCATACACATTTGTAGAAGTAGATATACCTCTCACATGATGGTTATAAATAAATGCATGTATCAAAACATCACAAACTAATTCATAAATATGTACAATCTTATATCTGGTTGAAATATCTAAAGTCAATGATAAATCCAATGAGCAATGCCATTTAACTATGTAAATATATAGAGAAAAAACAATTATCCAGGCGAATAACATATGTATAATATTAATAGTTTTGAGCTGGTATATGTAAGTTAAAAAATAAATGTATTTTTCTTTATGTTACAATCATTCTAATAATTATAAATGTCTTGGGGCAAGCAGGATGGGTCATTTAGCTTACCTTCCATATACAAGCACTAGCATCCCATGTGGACACTAGATTGTGTCCCGGCTGCTCCACTCCTGATCAGACTCCCTGTTTGTGGCCTGGGAAAGTGCTGAAGGATAATTTAGGGCCTTGGGACCTGCAACTGCATGAGGGAACTGGAAAAAGCTCCTTGCTCCTGGTTTTAGATCTGCTGAGCTCTGGTGATTGCAACCATTTGGGGGAGTGAAACAGCACATCTTTCTCTCCACGTCTTCTTCTCGCTGTAAATCTGCTTTTCCAATAAAAATAAACAAATCATTTTTAAAAGTTACAAAATACAATATTATGTTAAATAAATGTGGCTTCATCCCATTTTATCTTGAATGTTTAAGTTTAATGAAGATAAGAAATGGAAATGGATTCTGTGTTCCTGTTGACAGTGATATCCCAGCCACTGGGAGTCACAATATTTAGCATCTCACTCAACACCATGCAAGGCAGATAAAGATACTGAACCCAGTAACAAAACATACTACTTTATTTTATGTTATATTTTATTTTATTTCATTTTTATTTTGTACCTGATAAATTAAATGAAGATCTGGCACTGTGACATGACATACTAAACCTGTGCTAGCAGGATTGACATTACAATGGGTGCCACTCGAATGCTGGCTGCTTTACTCTGGCCAGGGAAGGAACCAGAGGAAGCACCAAGTCATTGGTCTGCTGCATTTTTATGACAAATTCAAAGAAATTTCCTGGCTCCTAATTTCAGACCTGCCACCTCCGACTGTTGCAGTCAGCTAAAGAATGAACAAGAGGAAAGAAGATTTTTTTTCTATATATCTCTCTTCTCTCATCCTTCTACAATTCTGACTTTTAAAAAAATACAACTAAATAAATACATCTTGAAAAAACTAAAACATGGATAACTTTGAAATTTTGAAATCCTGATCAAAGTAAAAGTCAGAATTGTCTGAATTTGTTAGTTGTAACATTATTAGAAATTTGGAACCATTTTTACATTATTTTTCTCTTAATTCACCATGTCAAATAATAGTCTCAACCTTCTTATGTTTTAAGAAGTTAAAAAGTTCAGAAACTTACCACACAAGTTGTAGAGTTCATCGAAAGTCTGAGTTCTAAACATCAATTCATCTCACATTAAAGATGACACCTCATTGACTTAATATGAGCCTTCAAATCCTTTTCTGACAGAAAAAATGAAAAAAATAAAGAAAATCATCCTTAGCTTCACTGCTGTACTTCATAAATGATCATTATCTTAACTTGTGGTAATCAATAGGTCTCCTCCTATGGTATTTCAAATTGATTGAGATTGCTTGTTAAATATTGAAAGTTCCAACTTACCAGCAAGTTGGATCACAAACTTCATTCTAAGTTAAAGACTGTAAAGGTCAGAAAGGACTTTAGGGGCCCTCATCTTCCCCTTGCAATATTTGTACAAACCCTTCTGGAGCATCCATATCACGGACAGATGGTTATACATCCTTTGCTTAAAAATGTCAAGTGATCAAAAGCCTAATAACCAGAGGCAGCCCATTTTGCATCTGAACAGCTGGAGTTTTTATTAAATATTCTTCTGTCAGATTGTGCCTTTATATTCACGTAATTGTTACAAGGTTTTACTCACTTTTTTTTTCATTTTAACATGTTTTTGAAATTGCATAAATTACACTCTCATAGAAGAAACATACAATAATGAAGAAATAAGTAAAGTATGAACTGAGGAACTGAGGTAAATGTGGAGAAAAGAAAGCGTAAGGTTGCTAATATTTAGCTAGGGATTCGGATGCTCTTCCCAAGTCAGAAAAGTGTGCTTAAGAAAGTGAAGCACATCAGCTGAGAGAAGGGGAGGTAGAGTGAGGAATGAAGGCCAGGAATGGTGGACATCGGAAGCCAAGAGAATAAAGATCCCAGAGATGCGACAGGGGAAAGAAGTCGGTGCAGCTTTTGAGAAGAGAACCATCAGTGTCGTTGAAAGGGAAGAAGACAGACAACGTCCTATAAAAAATACCAAATGGTGGAAAAGTCTGCAAGGAGAGACAAGAGAGGAAAAACAATTTATTAAAATTATTTTCCAAATTTGCTCTTATCGTCTCCCTAAAGTGATTGAGCTTATTGTATAAGCTGAATAATATTGCCAGTTCCACCTGCTGTTCCTAACACTGTGGAGAAATTTCAAGCTTCCAAATGAATTCTCTGTTCTCATGGATGTGAAGTATGGTTCCTCATCGGGATCTTCCAAAAATGACTTAGAAAAAGGTGATCTCCCAAAATCTAAAAGAGTTCAGAAACAGTGCTACCTTGATCAGGTAAAACAGACACTGAAGGAAGAACTACCTTGAGGGACAAAGCACATTATATATTATGAAAAGGCCCAGTAAACCAGGAGGATAACGCAAATCTTTCCATCTATCTATCTATCCATTTATCTATCATCTATAGCTAACATCATCTAAATATATGAAGAAGTCACTGGCATAGCCTAAAGAAGAATGGAAATAAACAATAACAGGAATCTTCAATACTTCACTTTCAATCATGTATAGGACATTCAGAAGAAACCATAAGGAAACAATGATTTGACAAACACTACAAATCAAATAAACCTATCAGACCCAGAAGGAACAGTGTTTCTGTTCTGATCACAGGGGAATGAAATCAGAAATCAATAGCAAAAGAATTAATAATCTACAATTTGTAAAATAACTCAAACAATGGATAAGAGAAGAATTAAAAGAGTAATTAGCAAATATCTTGAGACAAACAAAAAAACGAAACATAGCAAAAACCTGTGTTAACAAAAACAGACATAAAAAAGGGAGTTTACAATAAAAATCATTTACAAGCTCTTAAAATATAATTTTGCACTACATAAAATTAAAAAAGAGGTACAAACTAAGCTGAAAGTAGACAGGGAGGATATAAATATTAGAGAGGATGGAAATATTTAATGAAAAGTAGAGAAAGTAGTGTTGCTTTTTGAAAGATAGACAATATGTACAAACTGGGCCCGACATGATAGCATAGTGGTTAAAGCCCTCGCCTTGCATGTGCCGGGATCCCATATGGGCACAGGTTCTAATCCTGGCAGCCAGGAGCAAGGAACTTCCTCAAGGGTCTTATGTGGATGCAGCAGCCCAAGCCCTCAAGCCAAACACAATCCAGGATTCACTTTCTAAATCTGCTGATATTTCATAGCCCGTGTTAAGTAAAATAGTTGAGCTCTAAATCAATAAGTAAGGGTGGTATGTAGCTTTTAAAATAGAGAAGACTACATATTTCCATAAAACATTTCTTTTTGGAGTCTCAATAATTATTATAATTTATGCTATACTTAGTACCTATATTGTTTTATCTTATTAAGCAAACAGTTTCATTCAATCTAATAAGGTCAAGCCATGCGA